TGTTTCATCATGCATGCTATTTATTAATTTTTTGATCATCATCATTCCTGAAAGTTTGCTCATCCTTTTACAAAAATTGTTCACCATGGTCATTAAAACATTTTTTTGTTGCTGATGTTGATATTTGTACATATAATTATTTTTTCTGATTGCTGTTCTGTGTGCTAGTGTTATTGATGTATCAATTCAATATATTTGGGAACTAATTCATGATTGGCCTGTTAATGAATTTGAAATATTTTTTAAAATATTGACCCAACCTCTTTCTTTTCTGTTAATTATTGATAGAAATATTTTGCAAAGCATCTTTGGTAGCTCTTTTGTTTACTAGCTAAGAATCAATCTTGAAAATCTTTTTTTACATAGGTGATCGAATCTTTCAAATTTGCATTATGAGAAAGACACCCTTCCTTAACGTTATATATACATGCTATATTAATAATTTATCTACTTGTGTTGTATTTAAAGATATTGTCATTATTGATCTGTGCAATGATAGCAGCAAAAATTTTAGGTAAATAAATTGCAGATTGGTGCAACTGATTATCCACCACTTTTGTAATGAAAAAAAAAAATGAAGACATAGCAATGTAAAAACTTTCATCTCTCTTGGTTAAGCAAAAACATTGAGCAGTTTAGGCTCAAATCTGTTGAAAACCAACAAACAATTTTTGCGGCTAAAATAATAAGTATGTGGTTTATTTAAATTTCTTAGAAAAGAAGTAATACAGATAATCTAATTAATTTTTTTTTCATGCAGCCCCCCCCCCCCGTCCCCCCCCCCCAATCCCCCTCTTTCCCCTTTCCCAGGGAAGAAAAGAAATTAAACCTTGTTAGAAGTTGATTATTTCAAGTCCAGGCCCAAAGTTAGTATTGATCCTGTTTCAATTTGATTATGTTATTTATCAACGCCATAGAATCCTGCTGTGTTTTTGTATTTTTTTGTTATCTTTTTACCACTCAAATGTTGGTAATTGGTATAACAACTGAAACTGTTCTGCATCATCATCATTTAAAAAAAATCTTTCTCTATAAATATATTTCTACATAATCTACATGTGTTTATCTTGTGACAATTACAAAAACAGAGCTAATATGTTGTAAAAAATGATTTTTTTGTAGTATATTTTAATAATTGGTGTTAAACTTATGAACTTAAAAAAAATTTGCACAAGTATTTATAACTTGACCGTGACACTAGTTTCATTTGTGTTGTAAATTTACTATTCTTGCTTACAATCTATTGTTGATGTCTGCTGTTGATGGATTACCCTGTTGTTTTTCTCTCAACAGGGGGGAAACATTTTGTTTGATAATAAAATGCATTAAATGAAACTTCTCATCTTTAAGTTGTATATTTCAGTTGTTCTTAGACTTTATTCCTGAAGAGTTTAATTAAGAAAAAAATGCATGTCTAATTCATTTTAGCATCTTCTGCATAAAATATTGATATTTTTAAACATCTGAGTCTGAAGTAGATAAGTCTATTTAGAAGAGAAAAAAAAGCACAATTTGTGACTGAAAAGTAAGGACAGTATTTGACTACTGGTATCCAAAAAAATATTTAATAACTTGTGTGTTATTAGATATTTATCAAGTCTGATTCTGAGAGCTGGCATCTTTCATTCTTTTAACCTGTGGAACGAAGAGATATTGAAATTCCTTAAAAAAAAATAATTAATTTGGTGAAAAGAAAGTTGTCTTTAAACCTGGTTTGTACATTTAAAGATTTATGTGGATTGATGTGGTGGAGTGGAATTTCAGACCCTTTGCCCTTTGACTGTGGACATGGACGCCCGCAGAAAACTTTCTAGGGCGGAAAAATTTGAAAGGAATTTGAGTACCAGAAACGCTTTAAAAAATAGAGATTTATTCATTGCAAAAAAAAAAAAAAAAAAGGAAAAAAGAACTTTCTACAAACTGATCTATTGAATTATCTCAGATTCTAAATTTAAAAAGCGTAAGTTGTCCAGAGCAGGCAAGAAATTTAATTTAGTTTGAAAGTTAGTTCACAGGTTGCCAGTTCAGTTAATTTTATTTCCATTTCAAAACAAAAATTCCACTTCTTTTTTTAATCTTCATGCTCCTTTATGCTGTATGGCATGATAAGCTAGAGCTAATCAGGCCCTATGTTTAGTTCAGGTTTTTTTTGTTTGGCTTTTCTTGACCTTATAAAAACCACTTTCTTTCACAAACAATTTTTAAAAAAAAATAATGTTTTACCTTAGGAGTATTCAATAGAAGTTGAAGTTACCATTTCCTAGATATGTGTTTCATCATGCATGCTATTTATTAATTTTTTGATCATCATCATTCCTGAAAGTTTGCTCATCCTTTTACAAAAATTGTTCACCATGGTCATTAAAACATTTTTTTGTTGCTGATGTTGATATTTGTACATATAATTATTTTTTCTGATTGCTGTTCTGTGTGCTAGTGTTATTGATGTATCAATTCAATATATTTGGGAACTAATTCATGATTGGCCTGTTAATGAATTTGAAATATTTTTTAAAATATTGACCCAACCTCTTTCTTTTCTGTTAATTATTGATAGAAATATTTTGCAAAGCATCTTTGGTAGCTCTTTTGTTTACTAGCTAAGAATCAATCTTGAAAATCTTTTTTTACATAGGTGATCGAATCTTTCAAATTTGCATTATGAGAAAGACACCCTTCCTTAACGTTATATATACATGCTATATTAATAATTTATCTACTTGTGTTGTATTTAAAGATATTGTCATTATTGATCTGTGCAATGATAGCAGCAAAAATTTTAGGTAAATAAATTGCAGATTGGTGCAACTGATTATCCACCACTTTTGTAATGAAAAAAAAAAATGAAGACATAGCAATGTAAAAACTTTCATCTCTCTTGGTTAAGCAAAAACATTGAGCAGTTTAGGCTCAAATCTGTTGAAAACCAACAAACAATTTTTGCGGCTAAAATAATAAGTATGTGGTTTATTTAAATTTCTTAGAAAAGAAGTAATACAGATAATCTAATTAATTTTTTTTTCATGCAGACCCCCCCCTCCGTCCCCCCCCCCCAATCCCCCTCTTTCCCCTTTCCCAGGGAAGAAAAGAAATTAAACCTTGTTAGAAGTTGATTATTTCAAGTCCAGGCCCAAAGTTAGTATTGATCCTGTTTCAATTTGATTATGTTATTTATCAACGCCATAGAATCCTGCTGTGTTTTTGTATTTTTTTGTTATCTTTTTACCACTCAAATGTTGGTAATTGGTATAACAACTGAAACTGTTCTGCATCATCATCATTTAAAAAAAATCTTTCTCTATAAATATATTTCTACATAATCTACATGTGTTTATCTTGTGACAATTACAAAAACAGAGCTAATATGTTGTAAAAAATGATTTTTTTGTAGTATATTTTAATAATTGGTGTTAAACTTATGAACTTAAAAAAAATTTGCACAAGTATTTATAACTTGACCGTGACACTAGTTTCATTTGTGTTGTAAATTTACTATTCTTGCTTACAATCTATTGTTGATGTCTGCTGTTGATGGATTACCCTGTTGTTTTTCTCTCAACAGGGGGGAAACATTTTGTTTGATAATAAAATGCATTAAATGAAACTTCTCATCTTTAAGTTGTATATTTCAGTTGTTCTTAGACTTTATTCCTGAAGAGTTTAATTAAGAAAAAAATGCATGTCTAATTCATTTTAGCATCTTCTGCATAAAATATTGATATTTTTAAACATCTGAGTCTGAAGTAGATAAGTCTATTTAGAAGAGAAAAAAAAGCACAATTTGTGACTGAAAAGTAAGGACAGTATTTGACTACTGGTATCCAAAAAAATATTTAATAACTTGTGTGTTATTAGATATTTATCAAGTCTGATTCTGAGAGCTGGCATCTTTCATTCTTTTAACCTGTGGAACGAAGAGATATTGAAATTCCTTAAAAAAAAATAATTAATTTGGTGAAAAGAAAGTTGTCTTTAAACCTGGTTTGTACATTTAAAGATTTATGTGGATTNGGGGGAAATCGATTAACTTTCTGGGGGGGGGGGGAGGCAAAAAAATTTTAGTAATGTTTTAATGTAGTTCTAATTTACTGTAGCGTTTTTGTATGGTGGACGAACGGACAGGACATCAGCTTGGTTACTTTCTCTTTATTTTCTCTTTACTTTAATACATTTTTTTTTTAAATTTTTTTTATCCTATCAATTTGGGGGGGGGGGGGTGCCCCCCCCCCCTGCGGGCAACCATGACTGTAGAAGAATTGTGATGTAGGCCTGAGCCATTTTCGGCTGTAACTGTAGTGCCATTGATGATGAGATTGATGACTATCCAATTTGTCCCATAGATCAAGTCATTGAAGTCCCTATTTATAAATTAATTAATGGTCTTAAAGGCCCTATGCCTATGCTCTGAATTATTGATACTATACTAAAAAGTATTATTACTTATTAATAATTAGTAGTGAGAAATTGTTAATTGAAGTAATTGTCGAATTATGACCTAACTAATTTAAAGCTGAGGCATTTAATATAATTAAATTAGGCTGCTGTATCTTATTTATTTTGTTTAAATGGGACGAATCATTTTCAAAAGTTGTTGAAAAGGTGCGAAATATTTCAGCAGTTAAATTTTAAACATTAATTGTCTCCCCTGCATAACTTTTATAAAAAAAAAAATAAAAAAATTTAAACAAAAATCCTAAATGGTATGATCGTAAATGGGGTGAAAGGTTAATAGGCTACTGCTTTGCCACTATTTTTCTACTGATGACCCTGACTTGCACACTTCCACTTCCACTTAACGGTTAGTACTGTTGTTTGTTAATAAGCTCGGTAAACCGTTTAGTAATAAAAGAAACAAAAACAATAACATGTATTTCAAGCGAATGTAATTCGATTCAGAGTTAGGGGTGTACTTCTTGTTAAATTTCCCAGTTTCTTTGTCTAGCCCTAGAATTAGGCGTTGACCGTTACAAGGATGAGGAAAAGAAAAACAATGCAAATATAATCAAGGGGGATAACTGCGTTCAAACGACACGTATGATAGTTACGAAATAAAACTAAAACAAACTTCGAAAAAGTCTTTTTAAAGGATGTTTATTGGTTTACATTAGATCTATGCCTATCTCGTACTTCTATTACTTCTAGGGTAGCTTGGATACTGTAGGTGATAGTAACGACAGTGAAATTAGTAAATTTAAAACGACTACGCTCGTCACTACTGATACTACTACTACTACTACTACTACTACTAGTACAGGTACTATACTACTCTACTCCTCCTAGTATTAGAGTTATAGTCACGCTAGACCGTCTTAGTGGAGGCCTAGATCTAACTGCCTAAGCCTAAACACTAATTATTTAAAAAGTTATATAATAATAAGGCCTAGTCTAGGCAGATTCATGACTGTTGTCCGTTTGCCGTGTTGTTAATTCTCATGAATACCAATTCAATAGGGCCTACATTCAATTTTCAATTCATTAGTCACTAGTATTAAGCCTATATAATATAATAATTAATAATATATTATTATATTTAGTCTAATATTTTTAACTAAGTAGGATATTTTAGGTATAAAATTATATAATTACAGCCCGTACATAAATTTTGTGGTGAACAAAGCTACTTTATTGAATCCCTTTGCATCTTCGACAAGAAGTCTCAACTCAACGATCTGCGGTCTCCCCCTTTCACACTTAATTTCAGCCGGTACATGCTCCTACTCTTAAAAAGATGTGTGCAGCTACAGTTACACACTGCGACTGCGGTACTGTGGTAAGAAAAGTGTAAAAATGAAGAAAACATTACAAAATAATTTTAAAATAATGAAAACGCAACGTACAGTTTCATACTATAAATTATAAATCATAGAATACAATTTTTCACACTTTATTTCAAGTTGCACCAAAAATAAAATCCAAAATTTGTAAGAAAATCAATTCAATACTATACCGGTACTCATTTTCCGAAATGGTGGAAAATTTAAAGATCATAAATAATTAACCAACCAATGAAATTTTATTTTAAAATATTCCAATCATCATATTAAATAAAAGTTATTTCTGTTTCTAGTAATAGCACAAAAATAAACATAAAGGAGAGAATCCTACACATGGAGAAGATTGCAGAAATTGACATTAATTTCAAATAATCTGTTGGTTTCAAGGCCTGAATTAATAGGCCATATATATATTATTATTAGTTTAGGCTAGTTTAAGTTATTAATATTAGTATTAGTACAAGTATAAATTTAATCTATTCTTAATGGCCCACTATACTAGTAAGTAGCAAATTTAATTTAGCCTCTAGGCTTAGGGTTACCATAAGTCCTCAGATGTTAAACAGGACAATCAAAATTGTCATCAAATCCCGTTACGAATGATAGATGTATCAGACTGTATCAAAAATACTAAAATCTTAACCCCAGTTTCAAAAATCTATTCTTAGTCATCACTATCTCAATTGGAGAAGACAGAGTAACACTGGACACGGTCGTATTTGCTTTAAAAAAATCTTTGTCCTATTTATTTAAGGGTCAATAAATAAAACTAAAATAGCACATAAAGTGCAGATGAACTGAAAATCATGTTCCTCGTGTTAGTCGTGTGATTGTGGCCTATGTACCCATAGGTTAGCCAAGTGTTAAAGCAGCTGAACCATGCTTCCCATTCTTTGACCTACATTTGACATTTTGACATGTGATAAGAGGCCTTACATTGAATAAGGATACATACATCTGCCAAGCTGACTTAGCCATGCAGCATGGAAGCGGCATTAAATTACATTGCAACATTTTGAAACAACTTTTTAGAGTACAGTGTACCATTTTTGCCTTAAGTTAATGTACGGTAGTGGAATTATTTGATGTTTTATTATTTTTAATGTTTACCCTCGAGTTGACATAGCATTTGGTGGAAGGTAGTGTGTTTATTATTAATTATAATGCGTGTTTCTATAGTGTTGGTATCAGTAGTAAAAAAGTGTTAATTATTATACTCCAGGATCTGAGATGTGTGAATGATTTAAGATTAAGATTGAACAGAAAGTGGTTGTTTTTTGTAAGTTTTTTTTATCATGTTTAAAGTACAAAATATTTCTTCGTTATCAGAAATTAGAATGAAATTTATTTATAAAGGAACATTACTTTCTTTCCAGTTTGATTTTGTTGCACTGCAACACTATTGATATTATCCTTTTACTTTCGTCAGATTCGTGGTAAGTGATAAGTTCACTTATCGCTGTCCACCAAGCCAGGGATTTGATGAGATTTCTTCTTTTCAACTCCAAAATTCTAGCTGTGCCTTACAAATGTTGAAGTGTTGTGATACATTTTAACCTGTTCAGATATTACAAGATAGCAGTTTGAACTCCTGACTGATAAGCCTTAGAATTATTTATCTTGTTCCTTGGGCCAGAACGTATCTGTCATTCTTTATCAAGATCAAGTTCACATGATGTTAACTACCAAGACCAAGTAACACAGAACAGAGAATTGTGTATGTACAGCACATATTTTTTTTGTGCCAGAACATGCTGACATCTCACTACCTCACAGGATTTTATTTGTCCCAGTGTTCTCAAGAATTTGGTTTTTAAACCTACAATACCGTAGTTCATCCGATTTGCAGCCTCTATTCTATCCACCTCCACAATGTCCCAGGCGAAAACTGAACTGAAGAATGGTGCACCTTCACCCACGTTGCCTACGCCATCCATGGCAAGCACCCGCGGTCAGCACAACATGTACCAGTACATGTACAACAGCCCAAAGCGTCCAGACGGTATCTGCCAGATAGCCTGGCACAAAGTAGAAAAGATCTTCATCTACGCATGGGTCCTCATACAAACATTGTTCCTTATCGCCGGGCTGACCGTGCTTCATTTCTCGACGTTCATGGTCATGGTGTGTTACCTCGTCAATGGCGTGATTAAAGGGAGGAGGGAATTCCTCCCTCAGAAATGATGCCAGTTTGGTGGAAAATGCAACTTGTTGACTGACATAGAAATCTATGTCTTGGTGATAACAGCCTTGAAAAGAGGAATATTCCTTTCTAATTCAATTGTTAAAATCGCTAGACTGACTTGCGAAGAAGTAACACCTCAGATTTGTTTAAAAAATGTATTTTTTTGGTAAGGTGTGAAGTGTTGACTTTGCTGATACCAGTGGGAAGTGTACAGAATGAAGGATGCATGCACAAAAAAGTTTGATCCAAATTTTTTTTTATAAAGTTGTTTGTTGAATTTTAAAAAAGATTTCTCTGCTGAAATCAAAGGTAATCATTAGCCTCATGGTTTATTATTAACCAGGGCCAATGACTTGTCTGCATTAAATCTGCCATTTTGGTGAGAGCCTTTTGAACTGATTTCTAGTCATTGATTTTTTTTAAAATTGTTTAGTTATCAAATTTTTACGCTTTAACATACAGGGAGTTTGTTTTTAAAAGAAATATTGAAATATAAAAGAAAAGAATTTTTACATTTTCAGCTTAAATCTTTGCATTCTTTTAATATTCTTTGCTGACACCATGTTCTCTCGCAGGCTTAATGCTTGTTTTAAAGGGCATTTATGTGTTGATGCAAGCAGTAATTTGTGCTTTATGTAAGCAAATCCTTACAAGATCAACTCAGAAATGTTCAAACCATTTTGTGTTTTACCTTTTAGATTTGTATTTTTATATCATCAATTTTTAATTTTTATATCTTAGATATATTTTTAGATTTTATTTTTGTCGTTAAAATTAAAGTAAATGTTCCCTTAAAAAACAATTGGAAGATTCAAACCCGTGTTTGTGGTTAAATCACTGATTCAGTTACAGAAGCTATCATTATAATCTGTTCAATTTTTTTCTTATCTGATAATAAACAATGCTTGAATTATTTCAGCAGTCCTCATTCTAAAAGTAATATAGTGAAAACTGGAGTGTTTTAATCAACACTAGAATACAAAATAACGACAACATGAAGAGAATAAAATTCATATTCTCACTGGACATGCCCTCTTCTTTCATAAATGTACAATCTTTTAACAAGTTAACAAGTTTTTATATCCCATAATTAAATCTATCAACATTGTGACATTTATATTTAATGTATGTACTTTATTATAGAAACGCAACTGTAAAAAAAAAACAACTTATTGATTCAACTCCTTTTGTAATCTATAAATAAAGAGTGTTTACAGCTCACTACTCAAGATCCTTATTGTAAACATAAATTATATATTTTATGAAGAGAGCATCTCTTTAAAAAAAAATAAATCCTTGAACTTGACTGCAGCAGTTTTGAAGAGCTTTGCCATAACTGGGCAGTTGGATCTGTGTGTAGGAATTTAGGCATTTACGACTACAGCCAAGAGATTAAAAAAGATTTGATTTTCTTGTAAAGCAGTGGTTCTCAACCTTCCTAATGTCGCGATCCTTCAAGACAGTTCCTTATGTTGTGGTGACCCCCCAAACATAAAATTATTTTCGTTGCTAGTTCATAAATATGTCTTTTCCAATGGTCTTAGTCAACCCCTGTGTTAAGGTCGTTCGACCCCCAGGTTGAGAACCACTGTTGTAAAGCATTTTATTAATATTTAGTCACTAGTACTAGTACTGATATCATGTCAAATTTGTCAACTTCTAAAATGTATTGTTCTGATCTTGTTAGAGAATAGATCCTCAATTTTGATATTCAAAACTAATATTTTTATTAATAATTAAGTACAGTAATTAGACAATTAATAATTAGCTCATTAAATGCAAAGAATAAATCTTAGTCTTAGCTCACTACATATAATGGCCTTATGTTGTATTTAACAGGGACCAATAAAAGTGCAGATGCACGATAGAAATTCATACTTGTATTTAAGTGCTGGTATTTTTTAAATTTTTATAGCTTGGCACTTCAGATGCATTTACAAACTAGAAGTAGAAGATAAATTGTGCAAGTTATGAATTACTATTTAGATAGGCACTAATTACAAAGAGTATTTATCTAATTAAGAATTTGTTTTCTTTTAAAACTTGAACACTATTTTAATCTACAGAGCACATTGGTAGCCCTGACTACCGTTTTTGTTTATTTTATATTTCTTTGATAATGTTGGCTCTTTCCTTACAGTTTTTCCTTTCATTACTCTTTGAAAAGCACACATTGCAGCTTACCGCATAGCGTGTGCCTGCTTTCTAGCTCAAAATTTCCAATGTTGCATCTCACCTGCATAAACGGCAAACCACTAGACACAGATGACTTTAACTATCAGAAAAATACCACAACTATCTATTTTCTTTTGGAAGAGTAGGGTAATGTGAAGTCATAATCAGAATGTCTTGTATCAGATGGTATGATTAAGTAAACCAGAGTGGTGCTGTGAAAGGAGCATTGAGCAGACACCCGCTGTGGACTGTGGATGGCCATGAGGACCATAGTTTCTTGTAGAGATAATAAGACTATATGCTTGAGTCGTGAAGTGTGAAGCTGTTTGCATTGCTCTGGAAAGCAACAACTGTGTGGGCACTAGCCTCATCTGGCTGGTCCAAATGAAGACTTTGACTGCATGCTCTAACAAAAGTCATGACTTGTGAGAGATGAGCATTGGACTGATAAAACTCTTAGTTCACCTTATTTCAGTCCTTTAGGACTGGTGAGTTCAGGTGCAGAGTGCATTGGGGTGCCTCACATTGTTATTGTGTACTTGATTCTATCAAATGTCCCCATTTTGAAAAGAGTGCCCTCAAAAACTCCACCCGAGGGTGCCAAATGTCATAACTGAGCTGGTGTCTATCACAGACTTTGTCATTTACTGTCCCATTCCTTGTGTTGTCCCATTTCATGACATCTCAACATTTCATGATATCTCAACATTTCATGATATCTCAACATTTCAAATCACGAAACCTGTACACTTTAATTTATGATTAAGTCTTTCTGAGGTATGCAAACCGGATTCATGTACCGGTATTAATCTTTTATAAATTGTTACGCACCTCACTGTTACATTTTCCTGCCCCTGTCCTCGTTTTATGCTAAAGGTAGGCCTACCGGTAACATCATTTACGAGAGTCGCCTAACTGATGGAGTTGATAACACTGTACATTCTACATTTATTGTGAGCCAAATGATCTCTCTAGTATGTCATAAAATATATCCAGTCATGTGGAGAAATGTCAAGAAACAAATTTAATTGGAGGGAACCACACGTGGGGTGATGTGTCAACCACAATTGAGCTTTGTGCCATGTCATCCCATGGCATTATCACCCTTTGCGGCACAATGACAATCAATGCATCCCACAGTGGAATTGTTGAGTTTTGAATCTTGTTCCATGGCCAAGATGTTAAGTTTGATTGAAATTTGTTGTAATCAAGAAATAAATCAAAGTTATCATTGCAGTGTTGATAGTCTGTTGTTTTCTCTTATCACTGTGTTGTTATCTGTTGTCTGTTTGTTGGCGAAATATAACTTGTGAGTCACTGGTCTTGTCAGTGGTACCAGGATTGGACAAATAAAACCAGCTTTGTAATACTTTTTAATGTCTTCAGTAACATTTATATATCGAAGTGGTTGTATAACCCTGAGAGTTATACGCAGTGGGCAAGTCACGTGAGGTCTATATACTTCCTTGACCAATGTAATTTTAATCATGTTATTCTTATAATTATCATAATATACGTTTGTGTTGTTAACATATATTTTGTGTTGTTAACTAATGTTGTAGCAGATAAAATCATGTTTCTCTGGTACAGTAATATAATCAGGAGTGGTCAGTGGAGAGTAGCAGTAAAAAAAATAGCTGTAGGGGCAGGGGGTTCTGTAGAGGGGGCACTGTAAGTAGGGCAGGGGGGTCTGTTATAGTGTGGCATGGAAGCTGAAAACGGGTAAAGTTTGGTAAGAGGGGGCACTGTAAGTAGGGGCAGGGGGTTCTTTAGAGGGGGCACTGTAAGTAGGGGCAGGGGGTTCTGTAGAGGGGGCACTGTAAGTAGGGCAGGGGGTTCTGTTATAGTTTTGCATGGAAGCTGAAAACTGTTAAATTTTGGTCACACACACAAAAAAAATCATAAATGATATAATTTTTTTAAAATAAATAGAATGTATTTCTTGAATTAGTCAGTAAAACCAACCACATGCCATGGTCACAGCAACATATAACAACCTAATCAATCAGAATACAGAACTAGACTTAGACCATGGAAATGCCTTAAGGCATAATCATATAAATATAGTCATCTTCTTAGTCTTAGACTCTAAGAAATTTAGAGTTTGACTTAGACTTATAATTTAAAATGATACAAGCAATCTACTAATAATAGCACAGATACTATTACTATCATTCAATGTTAATTAAAATTTTACGTTAGACACATTCAAAGTTCTAGTTCAAAACAACCCATCATGCAGCTCATTACGCATAATGCTTTTTTTTTTTAAATGCCGAACTAGCGGATAATAAACCTTATTTGGCTAAATTCCCAGCCGACTGCGTATAACTATAACTCTTCCCTTTATTATATATCACTCAAACCGTGAACCGTACAGGTGCAGTGGCGTAGCGAGGGTGTTTGGCACCCGGGGACAAAATCCATTTTAAAGCGCCCCCTTTTTATTTTTTTCAACTCTCAAACCTATTATTTTCATCAATAAAATAATATCAAAGCACATTTTGGCGCCCCTAACTACCTGGCTCCCGGGGACATCTGTCCCCCCCCTGCACCCCCACCTCGCTACGCCTCTGTACAGGTGAAAAATAATTATTTTATATTTATAGCAATAAACTGGGCAGTAGGTCGATAACTTCCTGTCGGTCGATTAGAGAGACAAGTCGTGAATATAGATGTTCGACATTCATCAGAACTGAGGACAATAGTGTGTTCTAACTTATTCTAAGTCCAAGTCCAAGTATTGGACATCTAGGACTAGGATAGGCAATGAACAAGACTTATAATATTAATTTAGCTACCAGTATAATAATATCGATGATTATCAAATAAATATCTAAAACCTAATACAATACGTTGTAGCCATAAGTCTAATTGAAAACGTCAAACTTCGTAATTAGATCAAACGAAACTTAATGAAACAAATTGGCCAGTTTCCTCGTCAATTATTTGCACGGAACCTTACCGTAACACTCCCCCTTTTCACTATTTAAGAGTGAAAATGAAACAAACGGCGGATCACAATCGGAAATTTTATAAAGTTTAAAAATAAACCACGGAGACGTAAACAGGATTTGGTTGACGATTTTTTAATATTTTTTTTGTTAATTTAAGGATGAGGATTTTTTAAAATCATGTTCACTCCCTGGTTGAGACAATTTAGTCATCTTGCCTCCAGTTGAATGACTATTATGCAGTAAAATTTCTGTGCGCATTGCCAGTGAAGTGTAATGCGTGGTGTAAATTTACTAATCTCTGCTGATTTTTCTTACAGTTTACAGTGCTTACAGTACCGTAAGTAAATTTCCATGAAATATAACAAGTAAGTAGCAGCTTCATAACTACATCAGTTCAGTCATAATCACTCAATCAGTGTGCATTGATAAAGCCCGGTTGAGGCTGTTCTTTTAAATCTTGTCTTAATCAACTTAGTCTCAAATTTACGTTAAAAGTTACAATATGAATGTGTGAAATTAATTTTGAAACCGAATTTTTTTAAACACTATTTCAGTGAAACTGGTTGTTACAAACACTCTAAAAGACAAAATTATTATAATTATGCCACAAAGTTCACAAATACTAATCTGATAGTAGAATAATAATATATAATAGGCCTAAATGATATGCTATGCCGTGCCTAGTATTATGGCTTATTTAAACTTATAATTTATATTCATAATTTAATATTCAAGGTGAAGTCAAATCATTGATACAACTAAGTAAATTTTTTTTTTTTTTAATTTAAATGAAAAAAGTGGGTGAGGCTAATCCATGCATTACAAAAAGTCAAAAACATAGGCTACTATGTTACATAGCACTAGGGACCCTACCACTTCTTATGTTGTGTACTATTATCATTTGCCATCCATACTCTCCCAGAGCCCAGAGTGTTTTAAAAACTATTGTGTCCACTGTCCTTTGGCGGAGTTTCGACCTGGGTATTTCAATATACATACTGATATCCGTGGTTGCTATCTCCACTACCATTCCCTTTTTTTTTTCAGGTGAGAGGGGGCCCATTTCATTTCCTTCAGAAAAAATGCTTGGCAACTCTAAACCCCCCCCCCCCCCCCCCAACTTAAAAAAAAAAGTGGATAGTAAATATTTCTAGTGACCATTCAATGACTTTGTAAAGTTCATTATCAGCTGCCTTTGTGTCTCATTTTAATCTTCTCTCTATTGAAATTCCAATCGTGTCTCAATTTTAAAGTGCCCCCCCCCCCCGCGCCAACTTAAAAAAAAAACAACACATCTTTTTACTATAAAATGGATACAACTTATTATACACCAAGCCTTATGTAGGTGTAGTTGATGGCATTATTAATATTGACATGGTCATGGAACTTTAAGTCTGAAACTCTTATTTATTAGCATTTTAGGCCAAAATTTCACTAAACCTATAACTATTGGCTTGGTGGTTAAACAGTTTTTAAAATCATTACTAACTGGAAGGTCTAGCAATATATTTTTGAATTATAATTTATATCTATTCAATTGTTATTATAAGACCACTATATGAAAGTGAAAGGTTATTTGATTTTTTCATCAAAATCAAATATAAAATTTTATGTTTAAAAAGGTTTACTAAACAACCATAAGCCTTATGATATCAAAAAGAAAATATTGATGTGACATACAAATGAATAGTATGATAGCTTTAAAATTTATTTTAAAAAATAAAGCAAAGGGGAGTGACTTATAGGTCACTGGAAAAAATATATAAATCATTATGACATTATTTATACATTTTTAAAATTATTTTGCAGTTTCATCCCTTTCAAAACAAGATGGGTCAGTCACATGGAGGAATGCTTTTGAATAAAGATAAGGGGGACATTAAATTTCTTAATGCAGACAGGAATATAGTGAAAGAAGAAATTGTTTTACCAGAAGGAGAAAAGGGGAAATTGGCTTTTGTTCTTCACAATGTAATTTCAAGGGAGGTAAGGGTTAAACATTGTTATGTGTGTTTTTGTTCTTGCTAGTGTTAAATAAAATACAGAATAAGTTTTTTTTATATTTAGATCAGCGGTTCTCAACTTGTGGGTCACGACCACTTTGGGGGTCGAATGAACCTTACACAGGGGTCGGCTAAGACCATCAGAAAACACATATTTATGAAGCAGCAACAAAAATAATGTTATGGTTGTGGGTCATAAATAATGTTATGGTTGTGGGTCACCACAACACAAGGAATTGTATTTAAGTATCGCGGCATTAAGAAGGTTGAGAACCACTGATTTAGATGGTTAACCCTGTGTGTGCAGTAAGTTATTATTTCTTTGAGATACTGGGTATATCTTAGAGCTCCAAAATATCTGTATTTTTAATTATTTTAAATGACAGTGCTAAAAAAATCTCATCTTATAGCTATAGGCCTGATTATTTATTCCCTTTTTCCTAAGTCTAAACAAACTTCTATACATAATAATAATTTTTGTCTAAGAGTGTGTCCTTGGCCTTTATTCCACAAAAGTGTCCAGGCAACATTAAATATTAAGAACCCCTGTAGTAAACGCATTTTTAAATTAACCCCATAAAGTTGATTCCCTTCATCTTCTTCTGTATCCATGGGATGAGAGACTTCTTACTTAAGTTAGCCTTCTCTGAACAGAAGTGTATGGTCAAATGTGAGAATGTCAGGAGTATGTTTTTGAACAATGACCTTGTTTCATTTATTCCCAGGAATGTCAGAGCATCATTGATGACACAGAAAAACGGGGCTATGACGTGGCATTACTAAACGTTGGCCAAGACAAGTAGGTATTATGGGGCATTAGTTTGCCTGCAGTATATGAGGTTAGACTATGCATATTTATGTGAGTGTATTCATGTTGGTATGTTTAAGTGGTGAACAGAGATTGTTCATGTAGAATATTAATTGAGTGTTACAGGTTGTCTGCACTGAAAAAAATATTGGTTGCATTTTAATGCGGATGTATAAGTGGATTAATGAGGCTCACAGTTTTTTTAATAATGATTCTGTGCTGTTGTATAATTTGTCAGTGTAAGTGTAGTGTTATTGTGATGACGAAAAGTGGAATCTTGAATTCTAGTATGATTTAATGGAGGGGATGGCTGTCCGGTCAAGTATGTCAACACAAGAACTTGACATACAAAACGTATAAGCTCGATTTCAATATTTAAACAAGCAAAACAACACTATCAGCGGATGGGCCTCGCCTTGGATGATGGCTCATGTAAGAGAGGGAAACTCTGATTGCAAACCTCCGCTGACATGCGGCTACAAAACCATGGTGAAAGGCTAAGGGAGACAACCCAAGGGAATGATCTCCATAAAAGAAATGCCAAACTATAAATAAAAACATAAATTAATTATATATTTATTACTTTGGGTGGTGTCCTTCCTTAAATTTGGGCTTTTTGTATTAATTGAAGAGCAGGGAATGAACCATGTATGATGTCCATTTGGTGATTTTATTCATCCATTTTGTGAATTTATTAATTTTAGGCAAGCATTGGTCACAGAAGTCCGTAACAGCAAGCGGTGCATCATTGACTCAGTGGAGTATGCAGATGAACTCTGGAGCAAAATTAAAGAATTTGTACCTGAAGTTTTCAAGGGAAGGAAAATTTTGGGCCTTAATGAGAGGTACAAATGTTAAGATTTGGTAAAAAATTTTTTGGACTACATTGACTAAATTTAATCATTTATTTAAATAAGTTTCTATGAGCAGGATTGTTGTTCAAATGATATTATTCCTCTGCGTGTAGTTTGGCGGTCGACTGTTTATTCTGAGCAGTTCATCACTGCTGTAAATCATATAACTGTTTATATAACTCTATTCACAAGAAATTTGCACATAACTGTAATCACAAGAAATGTTTATATGCCGGGTATAACTGTATTCACAATTAATGTCTATATAACTTTATTCACAAGAAATGTTTATATAACTGTAGTGACAATAAATGTTAATATAACTTTATTCAAAAGAAATGTTTATATATTTCAAAACCCTTCAATTATTAAATAATAATAAAATTAAGAGTGATGTCATCATCAGTAAACTGAGCTCAACATCTGCCAGTCAGATGAATTGGCCTATATTTTTCACAACATCTGCCTGTCAGACGAATTGGCCTATATTGTTCTCAACATCTGCCAGTCAGAGGAATTGGCCTATATTGTTATTTCATCCCTTGTCCCAACACATTACTTTTTAGTAATGAAAATAAGTGATATGATAATGACATGAATTTTACACTGAGAAGCCCAACAAATGAACTCAATCCAGAGAATCTGTCTTGTATTTTGTCCAACTAATTTTGAGCTGAACTGCCCACAAGCAACTTTTTCACTTCAAAACGTATTTTATTTTTCAACATTCTGCCAGAAAACACAGACCTAAAACTGTCCTACTTGAGTATGAGTTGCATTCATGTTTTTCGTGTGCTCCACAGACTACGGTTCCTTCGATATGAACCGGGAGATTATTTCAGATGTCACCTTGATGGCTCTTTCGTCAGAGACAATGGAGAGACGAGTTTGATTACACTCATGTTGTATCTTAATGAGGTAAGTGTTATTTTGTTATCTTTTGGAGTGGGGGTGGGGCTAATCCTACTCTGAAGTCATTGATTTTTAAATTTAAACTACCGGGTATCTGTAACAATGAATATGTAACCTTCTTATGGATGATGGCACTTATGGTTCAGTAAAGTTACTCATACAATGTTAGCTAAAACTGTGAGTTCAATGTAAGCGATGGCTTGCCGCTATTAATTGAATAATTCATTCACTCCTCAAAAACTGTCTCTTTCTCTCTCTTAAGAATCGACAATGTTCAAATTAATAATATACACAGCACTTTATTACATATACTAAATAAGTCAAATAATTCCTTGATATATAAGGATACTATTGTAACAATCATAATTGCTATGCAAAACATATATATGTACACATGTTCAATAATACTCCATCTAATATTAATTCAATAATCCATTAGAAAAATTCAACGTCCTCTCTCATTCAAGATATCTCCCAATTCTGCTCTACTTAAAAAAACATGAATTCTTCTTACGCTATAAAAACTAGTCCCCGCTTTTCTCGTGTTTTACTTTATTATCATTAAATCACTACTCCATTGTGCCGTGGGGATAGATATTAGTGTCATGTGAAAATTCCTAGATAACTTGGTCTGTTACAGTATCTTAGAAGAATTAAATTAAAATCCATTTTTTCTTTTAGGTCCATAGATAAACAAATGCGCTTTTTCTGCAAAGTTTCATTTTAAAAAGCCTTCCAAAATCTTATTGGGATTAGCAGATTATTATTATTTTTTTTAAAGAATATTTTCCAATGATTGAAAGATAACTAAAATAAAACAATAAATAACTTAGCCTAACTAAGCATGGAGAGCAAAGTCACTTGATGTCATCAGAGCTACTAATATCCAAACTTTCTCTGTCATACATTTTTCTTTTAAAGTTAACATTTGACATAAATAGGATTGGAGACAAAAGAGATTCCCCTCAATGAAGTCTCTCAACTATCTGGTAGTGGAGAGACGAGATTTCCCTCGATGAAATCTCCATATTATCTGGTAGTAACTTACATTGCTCAGCTGAGTTTAGACAAAAAGTTAATTTTTTAAATATGGAACTACCTTATAAGTTTGCTGTACACGACCGAGTATGGAGTAAGCAACTCACGTCTTTTACATCTGTATTACGTTGCAGGACTTTGAAGGAGGCGCGACGACATTCATTGGCAGAGACGATTCAAAGGTTCCACTCATTCCTAAAACAGGTCAGTCAGGGCTGTAACTCTCACTCACTTTCATAATTCTATTAAGCTCAGCTGATTTGTCCACATCTGTTCTAGTTGGCCTTGGAAGTAATAAAAAAAAAATTCAGTTACAAAAATTTAAAGAAAAGTTATATGAATATATTTGGTTAGTCAAGCCGTTTTTTTTTCAGTTCTCAATATGATAACCAATCAAGAAATGTTTATATCTAACATTGACTTTTCAAACATTCATCCTGAAATTACTTACTCACTTATGCCTTTTAGTCCATTTGGGGCACAGGCCGTCTGCAAGAATTTTCTATTCATCTCGGTCCTATGCTTTCCTTTCCAGTTGCTTCCAGGTGTATCCCATACTTTGTGTGTGTGCGCCTCTAACTCCTCGTCTCCATGTATTCATTGGCCTTCCTCTTTCTATTTCCCTGTGGATTCCATGTTAGGTATTGTCTGGCGATAATATCTATAGGTGTCTGAAGAGTTGTCCCTATCCACCATCGTCTTTTTGAAACGGAGTGTCGTCTACCTTGAGGCTTCCAGGATAACCTTGAGGCTTCCAGGATAACCAAGCTTGAGATGCAAGACTTTATAATTCATCTTGAGAAAAAAGAAGTCTTCCTTATCAAAGTTGAAATTGTTTTTGTTTTTTTTCCTTCTGCTTTTCTGTAGCAATAGTTTTTTTTACAGGTGAGGTTGCTTGTTTCAAGCCAACCCTTTGGCACCTGGGGTTGGGTGCGGCGATAACGGATTTAATGCAATAAGGTTGCCAAGCCAACCCTTTGGCACCTGGGGTTGGGAGCAGCAATGAGGGATTTAACGTAATAGGGTTGCTATGCCAACCCTTTGGCACCTGGGGTTGGGAGCAGCAATGAGGGATTTAACGTAATAGGGTTGTCATGCCAACCCTTTGGCACCTGGGGTTGGGAGCAGCAATGACGGATTTAACGTAATAGGGTTGCATATCTCCCCCCCAAAAAATTAAGAAAAAACTGTTTCTTCCTTCTGTTACTAAAGGTTCTGTGTTGTTATTTGAGCACTTCATCTACCACGAGGGCTCCGAGGTCATAAAAGGCAGGAAGTATGCCATGAGAACAGACATAATGGCTTCCAAAAGCACGGGACAAGTACGGTGATATTCTGTACTAAAACCTACAGCCAATGTTCCCTTCTAAAAATTTACAGACTATATATATATGTTATAGTAATGTTTTTTGACTAATGGGTTGCACTGTATAGAAATTTGCATATACCACACGCCCAACAGGCAAAATGTGTCAAAATAATAAAATAAAATTATTCGATTTTAAATTACTGGAAATCATTTGTTTATTTTCAAATGTGGTAGTCAGCCAGCAATATTGAACACGTCAGTTCCATACTTTTTCACCAGCTCCAAGTTCTTTTCATCATTATCTAATTCCTCCCAGTTCGTGCAGTTCTTTGAAACTTCTAGGGGCCTCATTTTAATGGTAAATGATACAAATTAAGTATGAAAATAAATTCTGGCAATATTTACAGTATCGGTATGTAGTCTTTTTAATAACAGGAATGACCAGTTTTGTTCAGATGTTTGATGTACCAGCGTAATACTTCATAAAATAGGGTCAAGACACTTGGTATATTTTATATACAGTAATTGATAACCGCAGAGACAGACTGCTTAAAATTGTTTTTAAAAATCTTAATTGAATGTAAAACTCTATGAAATTCATTATTAAATCTTAATTGAATGTAAAACTCTATGACATTCATTATTAATTTTCTGTTTTGCAGGTATTTGACAATTACAAAAATATGTATTAATTAATTGTTATTTCATTTCTTTTTAATGTCCTTTGTCAAATTTGTATTCAAAATACATTTAAAAAATTTGGCGATCAGGTGAACATATGTATTTATCAATTTTTTTTGTCAGTTTTTTTAAAACAATTTTTTTGCTAATCCTGTGATATGTAGTTAGGTCCACATCAAGCTGTAATCTAGTCTACATCATGCTGTAATCTAGTCTACATCATGCTGTAATCAAGTCTACATCATTCTGTAATCTAGTCTACATCATGCTGTAATCAAGTCTACATCATGCTGTAATCTAGTCCCCCTCTTGTAAATCTCTCAGATCTTTTCAATTTTACATTTAACTTGCACTTGGAGGTAAACCTGGCCAGTATGACACCAATCAGGACACCACCCAGACACAATCCAACAGAAAGGCCAGCAATTCTCCCTGAAAATAGTTATTTTTAAAAATCCAAGTGTTGATCCATGTTCTTTACTCAAATAGAAATAAAAAATGTAAAAAATATTGTGGACCAAATAATTGTAAATTCCTCACTCAACATCAAAACTTATTTTGTTGTGTTCTATCATTGGTTCATGTGCTGATAAAGGATCCAGTTCCTAGAACTCTTTGACTGTTGCTTGTTTCTTTGTTAATTCCTTGTTTCTGCCTCAACATCAAAACTAATTTTGTTGTGTTCTATCATTGGTTCATGTGCTGATAAAGGATCCAGTTCCTAGAACTCTTTGACTATTGCTTGTTTCTTTGTTAATTCCTTGTTTCTGCCTCAACATCAAAACTAATTTTCTTGTGTTCTATCATTGGTTAATGTGCTGATAAAGGATCCAGTTCCTAGAACTCTTTGACTATTGCTTGTTTCTTTGTTAATTTCTTGTTTCTGCCTCAAAATCAAAGTGGTTTTTGTTCAACTGTACAAGTACTACAATTACAATTCTTTAAAAAATTGTGTGGCAAAATAAAAGAATATTTTTAGCATCAAATCGACATGTGAAATATGCCAGGGTTTTGAGATGGTCAGCATTAATATGTCTGACAGAATTTTTGATACCAGTAATATAAAATATATATTAATTACTTACTAAATAGGTGCATCTATACCGGTAGCCTACTACTTAACCATAACATTATGGAGCACGTACCCATATATCAATACCCTAGTATTATGGTACACTCACCTGTAGACAACCCTAGTATTATGGTGCACTTACCTATAGACCAAAACTGTTCTTGGGAATGTTCATCTGCTGAGACAACATACAAATAGCCATAATCTTAATGAATTCACTTGTACATTCCCAATTGTTGATAAAAATTTATTTTCTAGAAATATTGTAAGTCTCAGTTAAGACATTAACGTTATTATGTTCATGAAGTAAATTTAAAAACTCAAGGGGGGTCATTTTGTTACATTTTAAAATTTGGCCGACGTTTTCATTATCTGTTTAATTATCTATTAATAATTAATTAACAAGGAAAACATACTTATTGAAACACATTGTTTTGCTGCCTGTACTTGGGTTGTCTCCCTTGCAGATGCTTGGGTTACCTCCCTTGTAAGTGCTGATGACACCAGAGGGGAAGCACTTTGAGGTGGCATTTTTTTGTCTGTTGACCCTGTTGTTGTTGTCATGGGGGGAACTGACAAAGTTGTTGTTGACGTCCAGTGCACATCTTCTGTGCTGACCACGCTTGTTGTGACCAGAGGGTCCGAAAAAACTATGACAGAACCATTGGCATAATGGATCTCATTCCATACAGACCAGGGAACACCCACAAATGTTGTGGAAACATTCTGGCATAAATAAAATAAACGTGTTACAGATTTCCTCCATTGCATTTATCAATATTTTTCGTGTGACATTAGCTGATCAGCGCCCCTTCACATTCATAGTTAAACAGGATTAAAATATTTAGAAATGTATAATTGTGGTGACATTCCATTTCCGAATAATGTTCATATTATGATGGTGATACTTATATATACATTTGAAGCATGAATAAGAATAAAAATGCTATTGACATTAATGTCCAAGACATATATTTTATAAATGTCCATTACAAAATTAAATGTCTTTTTTACCCAATAAAAGTTTGGTACTGTTTCCTGAATTTGAAATTAGTCTTTAAAAAAAAAGAACTGACCAGTCAGTCTGACCAGTCAATCTGACCAGTCAATCTGACCTGTAAGTCCAATGTTATTATTGCTACCACCTACTTTCATCTGCTCATATAACTTAACATAACATCATCAAAATCTTGCTGAATTCACTTGTACTAATAAGGAAAGCTTAGGGGCTATTCATATAGTCAAGAGCACTGAGAGGGGAAAGGAGAGGGGCAATGGGGGGTGGGGGTTTGTCAATGATAGAGATTTTGCATACACCTGCAAATGGTGGGGGGGGGGCGGGTGTCTTGGAAGAAAGTATTTATATTTATTAAAAAATTCTATAGTAATCATAATGAAACAGTCATAAAATAGCATTAGTTATATCTCTTAAGTTGTAAACATATCACGCAATGTTTCTTAAAATTAATGTCATAATGTTGCTTTGTATTTTCACAAATGAACTCAGATATTGCTCAAATAGTAATCAGTAGTAGTGGTATTGCAGAAATATTTAGTCCACCATATGTTCAACGTGCATGTGACATATTTTTTTTCCAGCTGCATCACTGGTTTCTAAAATTGTACGATTCCCCGCGTCCTTGCCAAATTGAGTTGTTTCACCAGGTACCCTGTGTTAAATTCTAATCAGTACACTTTGAAATAGCCAATGCATAAACAAAATGAAATAAAGGGTAAAAATAAAAAAAAAAACACATAGGGTGAAGCTGGAAAATGATGCCGACCGTGCCCCTTAATTATAGAGAAAGTTCCTCCCCGCTGAGTAAAAAGAATCTTATTTATTGAGAAATCTTGTCTCTCTGAAGTATAAGGGATTTTTTTGTTTAATTGACCATGAAGGTCCTATCTGAAGACAATTTGGGCATCCCTGATGTTGGCTCCGGGGTGACTGGCCTCTTCGCCCTATTTTCATGGTCTGCCAGAGGGAAATTTGGCCCCTGAGCGTCGCTGCATATAAAATGGGAACCACTGGGCTCACCAAACAGTGGTATGTGAAAACCAATCACATATTTTTTAATATTTTTGAATTTCTTTGACGTCACAATTGTCTATAAATTATTTGATATCGTAGTTTGTTTTTTTTTTGTTTTGGGGAGGAGGGATGGTCAAAAGCTACTAGTACCTAGTACGTAAGCAATGGTGGTGGTGTGGGGGGGGGGGGGGGGGGGTTTTGAAAATTTGACTTTGTTGCGTAAGTGCTATTTAGGTGGCGCTGCTCATAGTTTATGTTTAAGATACTTTCATCTTACGAGCAATATGAGTAAATAAAATACAATTACGTTATCAGTAAAAAGAATTTTTGTTCTCATATCCATAAACTTCTTGAGGGCAGAAATTGAATCACTTGTGGAGGTGAGATTGCTGACAGTTCCCAAAGTGACATTTGGTGAGTCATACAATGTGAAGGTCACACACGCTCCAGTGGAGCTTGAAACAGGCTGTGAAAAACATTCAGTCATGAAAAATAGAAACGCATCATCGGTCTGACTGGGGCGTTTATCAATAAGTAACTTCTGTTTAGGTCATTTTAAATTGAACGTTATGTAACTGGATTTATTGAAAAGAAACAATGCTACATGCGAAGTAGCTTTTGCGCTGTGTGAAAACCGTATTTATAGAAAAGCATCACATATGGTTGGTCCCTGGGTTAATAATGGATGCAAAAAAAAAAAGTATTTATGTATATTTTTGTTGTAAATATGAAGAGCTGATTTTCATAGTGATGGGGTTTTGAGATTATTTAACTTTTTTACAAAAAATTTACATGCAGCGTTTAGAAAATTAAATCCTTTTTTTAGACAAGAATAAAAACAGGAATATAATGTGTTTTGTGAATAAACTTGACCATGTCTTAAAGGAACCTGGTCTGCTCTACAAAAAAGTAAATTTCTTTTCCGAAAATGGTGGATATCTCGTTTTTGAAAATAAGCTCTTCATATATGTTCTGTTACAGGTATATTCAAAAATAAATGCTTGCGGTCAAAACTAAAAGAAGTTGTTATGCTTGTATGTTGCCTTATGTATTAAAACAACACTATGTTTGTAACATTTAATGATAGCCTTATGTTTTTCAATTCTCTTAAATTCAAAACATTTATCTGAACACTTAAAAAATGCTGTTTTGTTGCATCCTTTTTTCTCCAGGGTTTCCCCAATACTTTGTTTTGTTTATTTTGCCTTTTAACTTTGTTTCGTTTATTTGGCCTTGTAACTTTGTTTCGTTTATTTTGCTTTTTAAAATTAAGAAACTAAATTTAAACACTTTATGAGCACTAATGCACCTCTGACCTTGACATTAGATATTCGTAAAACAGAAACTGCCATTACGTCTGCCAGTGTGTTGGCCAGTTGGTTCTCAAACAGTCTGGGCAAGTTAGATGCCACCTTTGGGTCACCTGGTAAAAAAATAAAAATAAATTTTCAAATGAAATAGCAAAACGAGGTATGTTAAAACTTGAAATAAAGGACAGGACAATAAGATTTGAACGTTTCGGCACAGAGCCTTCTTCAGGGCACAGGACAAATGAAAATATCACAAGGAACAGAGCACAGTTAACAACTCAAGAAATATCCACTGTTGTTGCCGGAAGAAGAGTTACAGGAAGTGTAATATTATAATTATTATATTTTACTTTTCAAAAAAGGTTGAGCAGAGATTAACACAGGAATAGATTTCAACAAGGAAGATATGTTGCAGCTTTTCTTAAACTATCTGTTCACAACACAGCAAAGTCTTTATTCAACTTTATAGTATTATTAAATACTACATGTAGCCCGCCAAACATTGGCGACAGCAATGCATGAAGTTCCCATCTACTAAAGTTCCTTGACAAAAACGTGAATTCAAGTTACGCACATTTAAGAATGCCAATTTTGCTACACCTCTTCCCCCCCTTTTTTTCATGACACTTTTTCATGATACGTCACTGCACACTTTTTATTTCACGCGCATGAACTATAGCTGACCCGCGGCTTAGCAGACGCTGCGAGCTGGCTGGCAAGCGAGGGGAGGGTTTGCCTGCGTCTTGCTTGCTCTGGCGTATCTATATTTGCCTGCGTCTTGTTTGACCTTTGCTGGCAAATTATATAGATAGATATCTACAAATTGGGTCAGTTGATTGAAAACAAAACTTAAAATAATACATCAGAACACTTCACACATAAAAATCCAGATACTGCAGCATTCTAAGTTTCTAATTCTATAGAAAATATTTGAAATAATGAAGTTATTCCAACTTTTAAAAAAAACCAAACTTATTTACCATGGTCACCAAGAGGACAGGTGGGCCAATTTACCTTCAAGGCAAAAATGAATTTGATGGTAATCTACATCGCGGTAACAACTTGTCACATCAAAGATGTTCAGATCTAGATCATTTGGGCTGAAGTCGTAAATATTGTAGACGTAATGAAGATCTTTCTGGGAAATCATAACACAAATGATCTGATCATTCAATTTAATTTTGGTAGCCGGGTGTTGGAGTTACAAAGAAACAGATTGTCCAGGACTAAATCACAGTAAAAGTATGTTTCAGGGATGGGGGGGGGGGATTAAATTACTATTTCCTAATGAATTAATTTAAAAAAAAAAGTTTTAACATCATCAGAACTTTATCCAGGACTAAATCACAGTAAAAGTATGTTTCAGGGATGGGGGGGGGGGATTAAATTACTATTTCCTAATGAATTAATTTAAAAAAAAAAGATTTGACATCATCAGAACTTTGCAAGCAGCGAGTAACCACAGCGCTCACACATAGCGGATGACCTAGTTTGATTTATTTTATCATCACCTTATATAATATAATGAACAGGATTTATTACAGAATCAACATTGGTGACTATATTTTGTCACACTAATTCAGGGGTCTCCAAACTTTTCAGCCCGAGGGCCGCATTAGCTATCAAACAGCAGGTTGGGGGCCGAATACACACTCGAGGTCCAAATAAGAAAGAATCAAAACATGGATTTTTTTTTTATTATGTATGTATTTATTTTTCATTCAGTTTTTATTTAATAACACATTGATACATGAACACATGTGTTAGTGGGAATGGTCAAATTTTTTCCTGGATGCCAAAATAGCAGTGATTATGAGCCATTTCTGGATTTAGATTTGATGTCCCTAACATCAACAGTGACCGGAGATTATCATCGGACAAATTTGTTCTCAAATTGTTCTTCACGTATTTCGTTCTTGAAAATGTTTGTTCACACCGGCATGTTGTTCCAAAGATTGAAAGGTACCTTGATGCAAACATTTTGAAATTAGGAAAGTCTTCCTTGGGCTAAAACTAGTTAAAAACCCACCGGTCCTTCTTTGAACTTTTCCCTAAGGAGGTCGTTTGCTTTCAACTCAATGACCGCCAGCTGCATTTCATCTGGGCCACTGGCCACATCTGCTTCAAATGGGTTTTGAAAAATTCTCACTTCTTCTACCTTAAAAATAAAATCCAAGTCAGAAAACCACTGCTGAAACTGCAGCAGGGGGTCTTTGATGATCTTGCATGCAAATGACATGGGGAACTCCGCTGTTGCTTCAGCCATGACGACCTTCCACTGCTGAAAGTGTGTCAAGCTGTTGGCCTGTACTTGTTCCAAAAAGAAGACGAGTTTGGATCTGAAGGCCTTTTGTGGGTGTGTAGATCAGAAACTAGATTTTTCTCTCTTTGTAGTTTTAGGTTCAAAACATTTAAATGACTAGTTATGTCTGCAGCAAAAACCAATTTCCATACCCCCTCTTCATCAGGCACTAATGGCTGTGGCTTGCCTTTACTTCCCACGAAGTCACTTATTTCCTTTCTTAACTTAAATACTCTGCTCATAACTTTCTCACAACTTGGCCATCTTATTGCATGTAATATGGTAAATCTTGCGATTCTGTGTCTGTATCTTTCAACAGGTCTCTGAACTGTCTATGGTTGAGCCCATGTGACCTTATTAAATTAACCCACTTTACCACAGGATTCAGTACACTGCTAATGTCCACATATTTTTCACACAAAGCTTTCTGCTGAATAATACAGTGCAGGAACATTGGTTGCAGAATTTTTTTCTCATTACACATCTGCTTCACTTGTACAACCAAGCCTTTCTTTATGCCACTCATGTTATTTCCTCCGTAAACAGTCAGGCAACTGAGGTTAGTCCAGTCCAAGTTATAATCAGCAAATGTTATTTTCAACTCATTGAATATATTCTCTCCCGTAACAGTGTCGTACATGCTATGTGGGGAAGCCAGCACTTGTGTTGTGTTCATGTCTTCATCCACACCTCTAACGAACAAAAGCAGTTGAGAGGTGGAACAGCTGTCCAGCGATTCATCCATTCCAATTAAAAATTGGCGAAACTTTTTTTGCTATTTGAGTCGCAATGTTTTCACTCATGTCTGCAACACGGCCGCCACTAGATGGCGTTATATCATCTCATTGACTGAACAAAAGTAGAAAAACTATGCAGCGAACAAGGTTTTGCAAAGTAATGATTGGTTCGAAAAAAATGCACGCCTCTATTTTAATTCGGTAAACACATAACGTCCACCCACGTAAGCAGCGGCTGATCTTGGCAGAATGCACGTAAATTTGCTAATTTTTTTTCCGTAGACAAAAAGGTCTCCGCTGGCCGCATGAGAGGGTCTCACGGGCTGCAGGCTGCATGCGGCCCGCGGGCCTTAGTTTGGAGACCCCTGCACTAATTATAAATGCTACATTCTTTATAACAAAGTGTTATTGAATTTCTCACCTCTGCGGAATTTATGGCCAGTTGTATAGGAACAGTTTTCATGTCTTCTCCGTATCGAATTGAGGACCACTCATCCTGTTTATTTAATTTCATTAAATAAGAAAACTCAAATCTACATAAAGCAAAATAAAAACAAACTAAAAGCTAATGATAATATATGTTACTCTTTAAGGTTACCGACAGTGATGTTAAAAATATTTTTACGTCTCAATGTTATTATTACAGTTGTAAAATGCCACGTCCATATAAATGTTGTGTTCTCTTCACTGTCCAGTCCTGTTCTTTTCCCAATCCATGTATCAGTGTTGATTCCTCGAACAACCGTCTACGGATTTTAAAAAAATATATAAATAATAAATACCCTATAAAAAAATCTGTGCCAATCCAAAAGAAGTCTTAATTTACCTATGAAAGTTAACCATAAGACCTAACTAGGATTGCATGAACAGTCTTGAAAATGTGTTTGTTCCAGTCATTAATTTAGTCACCAACTTTATATGGCTTTGTCGAGTATGTAAGACAGAAACCAGTGCAAGTGTACACACCAGTTGTCCCCCTTCTTGTGAGTTATACAAACCAAGGCACTGGGCCATCTTTGTGTAAACCAAGGTACAAAACTAAATAACCCCCTTTTAACATTAGCTCAGAACAAACATCAAAGCTAACAGAAAAAAAAAAAAAAAAAAAAAACAAAAAAAAAAAAAAAAAAAAAAAAAAAAAAAAAAAAAAAAAAAAAAAAAAAAAAAAAAAAAAAAAAAAAAAAAAAAAAAAAAAAAAAAAAAAAAAAAAATCAAAAAAAACAAAAAAGTGAGTTATACAAACCAAGGCACTGGGCCATCTTTGTGTAAACCAAGGTACAAAACTAAATAACCCCCTTTTAACATTAGCTCAGAACAAACAACAAAGCTAACAGAAAAAAAAAAAAGAAAAAAAATCAAAGCTTACAGAAAAAAACAAAGATCAAAGCTAACACAAAAAACAAAGATCAAAGCTAACACAAAAAACAAAAATCAAAGCTAACAGATTAAATAAAAATCAAAGCTAACAGAAAAACTGGCGACTGAAAGAAAAGAATGTGCATGAAAGGCGCAATGTGTAATTTATTATTGGTGAAAAAAATTAGCTGATTGCATCTTACATGAGATTTCATTAGCAACATTCATGGCTACAGATCAGTACTCATGTAACACTACATCCTGGATGATTGTATTTTTTGATGTCAGTAAATATCAGCATATAAAATAATTGTAAAAAAAAAAAAGTCTCCCAAAATAAAGCTGTAATTAAATGCTTGTATTCACTAAGATAACTTTAATAAAAAAATTTTTAAAAATTAACCAAAAAAAAAAAAAAAAAAAAATAAAAAAAAAAATTTTAAAAAAAAAACAAAAAAAAAAAAAAAAAAAATATATATGTATATATATATGTATATATATATATATACACATATACTTAAACTTAAAATCATAGATAAATGAGAATTTTTTAAAAAAGGCAGACAACAGAGGTCATTTGATTCAGAAACCTGGCCAGAGTATGTGAAGTTGTCTTTGTCAAGGTTGAACAACTCTATGGGTGACATCATGCCCACAAGTCTGAAATCTACCAACAAGCTACTAGACCTATCTGGAACGACTGGTGTCACCTCACAGCCTCCTGTCTGCAGGTCTGTTATATATTCAATGCCTGAAAAAATTTAATAAAAAAACATAATCAATGATTTAAACTATTGTAATAAATTTTATGCAAAGTCAAACAAGTTGATAAAAATTACTTCAGTACCGGTAGTAAAAAAAAAAATGGGGGAAACAAATTAAAATAATAGACAAAATTAATGAGTTATTTACGTTAAGATACTTGAACTGGATGGACAAGAATAGATAATTCACTTTAACCACCTGTGTTATAATCCCTGATTGTTGTCCTTGGGGAGAATTTTAATACAGCGCCATCCCCAGGCAAAGGTTTGGAATCAGTGCGCACAAGCTTGGCGTTCTTGTTATACCAAACCTGAGGAAAGATGACTCTGTCCAGCAAATATATTGGTAATCAAACAGAACCATGTCAGAGATAAAGATTAAATAAGTAATGTAAATACTGCTGTCATAATTTCATTATAAAATCTAATTTGAATTTATTTATTATTATCAATGTGGTGCATTTAGGAGTGGTTCCAAAAAAAAGATGTGAACCCCGGCCAGAGGGCTAATGTCATGTGGGTTGGGTAGCAGGGCAGGTGGAATGTACTCAAAGTATTGCAATGTTCAATTACATGGCAGAAAATGTAGTCAATCTCTAATTCTTCCCATTTATATCTATACTGAGCCGAACCTTCCTACCAATTCCATTTCTTTCCACGATCCCTTATTTCTTGTTCAGTGGTCTTCCTCTCATTCTATTTGCCCTGTGGCAATAATTAGTGAGTCTTTATTATGGCATTCTTGGCCTTCAGCATCGGCACGGATATGTACAGATAATTCATTGTTTACTTACATCAAATCTGCACACTTCATGGAGGTGAAGCGCAATAACTTACAGCATATCTGCCGACTTCATGGAGGTGAAGGGCAATGAACTCTAACTTACATCATATCTGCCGACTTCATGGAGGTGAAGGGCAATGAACTCTGACTGGAACTGAAAGTTGTCAGGAATGTTAGGAAATGGTTTGGAGGATTTCCTCCCCTCGCAGTACATAGCTGACGGTAACTGAAGTAAGAAAGAGAAAAATATTACTGTGTATATGCCATTATCAATTAATAAATTTAGTTTTTAAGATAGAAATCAACATTAATGCTCTAAACTAATTGTTTTTCACAGTAGATTTTTGGATGGTGTGGGGGAAAGTATTTATTTTAAAAGAAAATTTTTTTTGCTAGGGAGAAAATATTTTCATAAGTTTTGCCAATTTCTTGACTAGTTTTGTTTATATTACATAGATGCCTAAATTTGAATATTTACTAAACTCGGATATGTTTCAAAATGGTTCACACATTGGCACTTTAAAATAGCTCTCTATATGTAAAAAATCTTTTTTCTTAAATGTGTACTATCCGTCTGTCTGTCTCTGTCTCAAATCATCTAACATTTTCTGTGAACAATTTAAAAAAAAAATTTAGTACCATCTTTAAGGTTTGAAATTAAATCATGTGTACATCTTTATATTGTTAAATTAAATTATGTGTACCATCATTAAATTATATTATGTGTACTATCTTTATGTTGTTATATTAAATTATGTGTACTATCTTTTTGTTGTTAAATTAATGTCTTTGTGATTGTGTATGTAAATTTCCCTGGAGCTATTTATTTGAACACCCTTTAATTCCTCAAACACATCAGCTTATAGAAATAGTAACCCAACCCAAAATGTCCCATTCATACACCCAAAATGTCCCATTCATACACCCAAAATGTCCCATTCAGACACCCAAAATGTCCCATTCAGACACCCAAATGTCCCATTCATACACCCAAAATGTCCCATTCATACACCCAAAATGTCCTATTCATACACCCAAAATGTCCCATTCACACACTCAAAAATGTCCAAATTCATACACCCAAAATGTCCAAATTCATTCAGCACTGATATGAAAATTGACAAACCTGAAAGATGGATCTGTCTCTGATGGAGGTCTGGAAAAATACAAAATCCCTTTGTATAGATTCCTGGAATTCTTGACCAGGGCTGGGAATGAGCTGTGTCATCTTTGTCAGGAGTGGGGTGGGATCCTCACTGTTGGCTGTGCCCCAGCCATTTGCTGGTAAGGAGAGGGAAGTGTTGTCAGCAATGTAATTTGTATGGCCAGTTCACTGAAAGGGCCCAAAATCTGAGAAGCCCAGCGGGCCATCCCATTCGTGTATCATATTAATCTCTCAACTCAACTCTATGCATATCTTCTTCCCGAAGCAAAAACATATTACTTGTGTGTTGAAATTTATATGCTGTACCTATATGAATTAGTGAGGTCACATTCTTCACCTAGGAAAACCATATCACTTATAATGTTAAAATTGATATGGCTGTGCCTGTACGAATTAGTTGATTGCTGGGCAAAACAACTGACCTGTGAAATAAATATCGTTCATGGTTGTCACAAGTGTGATGTTGTCTCTGGAACAACCCTGCCAGTGGTCGGCAGCCTTACCCCTGACCTGCTCAGGACCCAGGTAGCTCATGGCGAGCCCACCGCCGAACTGAAGCAGAGCCGATGTGCTAACAAGGTGTTCTGAAAAAAGAGAAGAAAAAAAAAATTAATAAACAAAATTTTATTCAACTATGGATAAACATTGCATAAATAAAAAAATTGAAACCACGATTAGATAGACACAGCATTTGGTGACTTTGAAAGTGTGTGTGTGTGTGTGTGTTTGTGTGTGGGGGGGGGGGNATCTACCTTCAAAAAACAAAAACATTTTCTTTCTAATATTTTCTTTAAGCTTCATCAATAGGGAAAAGAAAGTTTGGGTCAGGATAGCTGGAGGTTTGGGGTGGGGGGGGGGAGATTTGAATACTTAAGACACTTAAGAGCAGGGGTCTCAAACTCATATTATCCGGGGGGCCGCAGAAGGTAGGAGTCTGAGTGAGACTGGACCGCATCAAATATTCCACAAAAACGCAATTACTAATTCAATAAAGTACAACTGTTACAATCCACTCAACCTTTATTAATAACAATTAAAAACATTAAGGTATCTCAAGAACTAAGCCGTCACATTGCGCATCGTCGTTAACAGAACTAAGCCATCACATTGCGCATCGTCGTTAACAGAACTAAGCCATCACATTGCGCATCGTTGTTAACAGCATTCCCGCTGATCTAAAGTAAAAGTATTCAGCTAATAAATGCTCTGAAAATAATGAGCTTCTGGTGAGACGAAAAAGAATAAAATGAAGATAAACATTTGGCCATTCCCACTGGCGATTTTAAAACTAAACCATGTTCAAACAGAAGACAAAAGCAGGCCATATATGTGAACTATTGATGTGAAGGAAGATGCTATTGTAGGGAGAATGAATTTTGAATTTTTTTTAAACCCTATTGAGAAAGTGACCAAGCTGACATGATCAGAATTCCCCTCACTCCTCACCCCTCACTCTTACACACTGGCGGCAATTTTAGTAGGGATTCTTTAACACTGTGTCAGATTGCTACAACTTACAGAATTAATTATGGTTGTGCATTAACCACTAACTGACTTTTTAAACTTTTGATATATTTCTATACAATATTCGAGCGCGTTTTCTCAAAACTGCACTTTGGCCATGTTTTAAATGTTTGTCTCATATAATGCTAATAAATAAAAAAAACTTTAGTCCGATTTATAATGGTTTTTACCATTATAATCAACGTCCAAACCTAAACAAACATAATAAAAATCAGAATTAGATTAGTCAGTGAGATTCCACAGAAACAGCCGTTGAGGGTCACCTTATAGATATGAGAATGGGGAAAATGCCTGCCGCTAAACTTTGCTGTCAAATAGCTGGCTGCAAATGGGCCGTGAGTTTGAGACCCCTGTTTAAGCAGTATTTTGATCCAACCATAGAAAGATAAAGCACAAATTATCATAAAGTGTACACAATTCTTTACTGGTCCTATCATTTACTGGCCCTTCCTGTCGATCTTAGAAACAACCAGACACTGGATCCTTTAAAACCGATCTAAAGACACATCTATTTCGCAAACACCTTCTGGGATGATTGTCAACCTTATTTTCCAGTTAATGCATAATGGCTGTGTTGCTTTGGGTTGAAATGGCTAGAAAGACTTTGAGATTGTATGCTTGTAATTAGTTTTTGTAGTGTTGCGTTTGTTTTAAATGTGGTAAATTATAGATATGTTTTTTGTTGACTTTGTACTGCGCTTCGAGACTTTGGGGATGAAGCGTGTTTTTGAAATGAACTTTATTATTATTATTATCATTAACATAGAATTTAAAAAGCTTTTGAGAAGCTCATTGCGTTGAGTCAACTTTATCAATGGTTTTGCTCCCTTTGTTTTCCTTTTGTCCTTTTAGTTGACTGGTTTGTTTCCCTTTATTTTACTCTGATTGGTCAGAAAAAAATTCCGTCACTTTGTCCAACAATTAACAAATAATTTCAAAAGTTTCCATTACTTTTATTGTTGACCAGATTGTATGGAAGGATGAAAACGTCATAACTGTTGATCTCTGTGACTGTACACGTCACTCCTGTGGAAAGTAGGAAAAACCGTTAATGACAATGTAAAAACGAATTGAAGGCTGTGAAATGTTTTACACTTGAAAAAGAGATGAGTTAAATTTTGTATAAAATATTAATATATTATTGTCCTTAAAACTCTCTGTAAATTTAACCACGAGGCACAACTCTAGAAATCCATTGATCTCTCACACAGTGGATTAGGGGTTTGAAAGTGGAGGTGAGAGGAGTGCATAGCAAACCTTTGATAAACTCTTGTACAATAATGAAACAAGCAGTGGCGTAGGAAGGAGGATGGTGTGGAGGGAGCGGTCAGTCCCTGGCGGCAATGTTTTCTGTATATGGAGGGGCAGAATTTTGACCAGTCTGCATCTTTTCATTTTTCCTGGGAGGATGGGCAAAACTTTGGCCCATCCCAAAATTTAACTTAGCCTTGCCACTGGACAAAATGGCTGTCTGCTAAGTGGTCAATTGTTTTTTTTCTTTCTATTATCTTCAAATTATATGGTGTTGTTTTTTTAAACTGTAAAATGTTTACAACTAATACAAAGTGTCTTTAGTCAGGGACATAGAATGGGGCAACAGTAAACTAGTATACACTGTCTTTAGTCAGGGACATAGAATGGGGCAACAGTCAACTAATACAAAGTGTCTTTAGTCAGGGACATAGAATGGGGCAACAGTAAACTAGTATACACTGTCTTTAGTCAGGGACATAGAATGGGGCAACAGTCAACTAATACAAAGTGTCTTTAGTCAGGGACATAGAATGGGGCAACAGTAAACTAGTATACACTGTCTTTAGTCAGGGACTTAGAATGGGGCAACAGTCAACTAATACAAAGTGTCTTTAGTCAGGGACATAGAATGGGGCAACAGTAAACTAGTATACACTGTCTTTAGTCAGGGACATAGAATGGGGCAACAGTCAACTAATACAAAGTGTCTTTAGTCAGGGACATAGAATGGGGCAACAGTAAACTAGTATACACTGTCTTTAGTCAGGGACATAGAATGGGGCAACAGTCAACTAATACAAAGTGTCTTTAGTCAGGGACATAAAATGGGGCAACAGTCAACTAATACATACTGTCTTTAGTCAGGACATAGAATGGAAAACAGTCAACTAATACAAAGTGTCTTTAGTCAGGGACATAGAATGGGGCATAAGTCAACTAATACATACTGTCTTTAGTCAGGACATAGAATGGGGCAACAGTCAACTAATACATACTGTCTTTAGTCAGGGACATAGAATGGGGCAACAGTCAACTAATACATACTGTCTTTAGTCAGGGACATAGAATGGGGCAACAGTCAACTAATACAAAGTGTCTTTAGTCAGGGACATAGAATGGGGCCAGAGTCAACTACCATGGGCATTAAATAAAAGTAGGTACCACTGCTAGGTGATACATTCCATCTACTGTATATTTTCATAGAAACTATGCTGGTTAAATTGGACCAACTTCAATGCTCTGTTCAAAATGACAGACAGGTGGGCTAGGCCAACACACTACCACTGGAGATGTAACCGACAGGTGAGTTAGGCCAAGACACTACCATTGGAGATGTAACTAACAGGTGGGCTAGGCCAAGACACTACCACTGGAGATGTAACCGACAGGTGAGCTAGGCCAACACACTACCACTGGAGATGTAACCAACAGGTGGGCTAGGCCAAGACACTAACATTGGAGATGTAACCGACAGGTGGGCTAGGCCAAGACACTACCACTGGAGATGTAACCAACAGGTGGGCTAGGCCAAGACACTGCCACTGGAGATGTAACCAACAGGTGAGCTAGGCCAAGACACTACCACTGGAGATGTAACCCACAGGTGAGCTAGGCCAACACACTACCACTGGAGATGTAACCGACAGGTGAGCTAGGCCAAGACACTACCATTGGAGATGTAACTAACAGGTGGGCTAGGCCAACACACTACCACTGGAGATGTAACCAACAGGTGAGCTAGGCCAAACCACTACCATTGGAGATGTAACTAACAGGTGGGCTAGGCCAAACCACTACCATTGGAGATGTAACTAACAGGTGGGCTAGGCCAAGACACTACCATTGGAGATGTAACTAACAGGTGGGCTAGGCCAAGACACTACCACTGGAGATGTAACCAACAGGTGGGCTAGGCCAAGACACTACCACTGGAGATGTAACTAACAGGTGAGCTAGGCCAAACCACTACCATTGAAGATGTAACTAACAGGTGGGCTAGGCCAAACCACTACCATTGGAGATGTAACTAACAGATGGGCTAGGCCAAACCACTACCATTGGAGATGTAACTAACAGGTGGGCTAGGCCAAGACACTACCACTGGAGCAGTAACTAACAGGTGAGCTAGGCCAAACCACTACCATTGGAGATGTAACTAACAGGTGGGCTAGGCCAAGACACTACCACTGGAGATGTAACTAACAGGTGAGCTAGGCCAAGACACTACCACTGGAGATGTAACCAACAGGTGAGCTAGGCCAAGACACTACCACTGGAGATGTAACCAACAGGTGAGCTAGGCCAAGACACTACCACTGGAGATGTAACCAACAGGTGGGCTAGGCCAAGACACTACCATTGGAGATGTAACCGACAGGTGAGCTAGGCCAAGACACTACCATTGGAGATGTAACCAGCAGGTGAGCTAGGCCAACACACTACCACTGGAGATGTAACTAACAGATGGGCTAGGCCAAACCACTACCATTGAAGATGTAACTAACAGGTGGGCTAGGCCAAAAAACTACCATTGGAGATGTAACTAACAGGTGGGCTAGGCCAAGACACTACCATTGGAGATGTAACTAAAAGGTGGGCTAGGCCAAGACACTACCATAGGAGATGTAACCAGCAGGTGAGCTAGGCCAAGACACTACCACTGGAGATGTAACCGACAGGTGGGCTAGGCCAAGACACTACCATTGGAGATGTAACCGACAGGTGGGCTAGGCCAAGACACTACCACTGGAGATGTAACCAACAGGTGGGCTAGGCCAAGACACTACCACTGGAGATGTAACCAACAGGTGGGCTAGGCCAAGACACTACCACTGGAGATGTAACCAACAGGTGGGCTAGGCCAAGACACTACCACTGGAGATGTAACCAACAGGTGGGCTAGGCCAAGACACTACCACTGGAGATGTAACCAACAGGTGGGCTAGGCCAAGACACTACCACTGGAGATGTAACCAACAGGTGGGCTAGGCCAAGACACTACCACTGGAGATGTAACCAACAGGTGGGCTAGGCCAAGACACTACCACTGGAGATGTAACCAACAGGTGGGCTAGGCCAAGACACTACCACTGGAGATGTAACCAACAGGTGGGCTAGGCCAAGACACTACCACTGGAGATGTAACCAACAGGTGGGCTAGGCCAAGACACTACCACTGGAGATGTAACCAACAGGTGGGCTAGGCCAAGACACTACCACTGGAGATGTAACCAACAGGTGGGCTAGGCCAAGACACTACCACTGGAGATGTAACCAACAGGTGGGCTAGGCCAAGACACTACCACTGGAGATGTAACCAACAGGTGGGCTAGGCCAAGACACTACCACTGGAGATGTAACCAACAGGTGGGCTAGGCCAAGACACTACCACTGGAGATGTAACCAACAGGTGGGCTAGGCCAAGACACTACCACTGGAGATGTAACCAACAGGTGGGCTAGGCCAAGACACTACCACTGGAGATGTAACCAACAGGTGGGCTAGGCCAAGACACTACCACTGGAGATGTAACCAACAGGTGGGCTAGGCCAAGACACTACCACTGGAGATGTAACCAACAGGTGGGCTAGGCCAAGACACTACCACTGGAGATGTAACCAACAGGTGGGCTAGGCCAAGACACTACCACTGGAGATGTAACCAACAGGTGGGCTAGGCCAAGACACTACCATTGGAGATGTAACCGACAGGTGAGCTAGGCCAAGACACTACCATTGGAGATGTAACCAGCAGGTGAGCTAGGCCAACACACTACCACTGGAGATGTAACCAACAGGTGGGCTAGGCCAAGACACTACCATTGGAGATGGAACCGACAGGTGGGCTAGGCCAAGACACTACCACTGGAGATGTAACTAACAGGTGAGCTAGGCCAAGACACTACCATTGGAGATGTAACTAACAGGTGAGCTAGGCCAAGACACTACCACTGGAGATGTAACCGACAGGTGGGCTAGGCCAAGACACTACCACTGGAGATTTAACCAACAGGTGGGCTAGGCCAAGACACTACCACTGGAGATGTAACCAACAAGTGGGCTAGGCCAAGACACTACCACTGGAGATGTAACCAACAGGTGGGCTAGGCCAAGACACTACCACTGGAGATGTAACTAACAGGTGAGCTAGGCCAAACCACTACCATTGGAGATGTAACTAACAGGTGAGCTAGGCCAAACCACTACCATTGGAGATGTAACTAACAGGTGAGCTAGGCCAAACCACTACCATTGGAGATGTAACTAACAGGTGAGCTAGGCCAAACCACTACCATTGGAGATGTAACTAACAGGTGGGCTAGGCCAAAACACTACCATTGGAGATGTAACTAACAGGTGAGCTAGGCCAAAACACTACCATTGGAGATGTAACTAACAGGTGAGCTAGGCCAAAACACTACCATTGGAGATGTAACTGACATGTGGGCTAGGCCAAAACACTACCATTGGAGTTGTAACTGACAGGTGGGCTAGGCCAAAACACTACCATTGGAGATGTAACCAACAGGTGAGCTAGGCCAAAACACTACCATTGGAGATGTAACTGACATGTGGGCTAGGCCAAACACTACCATTGGAGTTGTAACCGACAGGTGGGCTAGGCCAAAACACTACCATTGGAGATGTAACCAACAGGTGGGCTAGGCCAAAACACTACCATTGGAGATGTAACTAACAGGTGGGCTAGGCCAAACCACTACCATTGGAGATGTAACTGACAGGTGCTAGGCCAAACCACTACCATTGGAGATGTAACTGACAGGTGGGCTAGGCCAAACCACTACCATTGGAGATGTAACTAACAGGTGGGCTTGGCCAAACCACTACCATTGGAGATGTAACTAACAGGTGGGCTAGGCCAAACCACTACCATTGGAGATGTAACTAACAGGTGGGCTAGGCCAAACCACTACCATTGGAGATGTAACTAACAGGTGAGCTAGGCCAAACCACTACCATTGGAGATGTAACTAACAGGTGGGCTCGGCTAAACCACTACCACTGGAGATGTAACTAACAGGTGGGCTGGGTGCCTACATTTCAAGAATTTTCTGAAGATGTCTTCAATTTGCCAGGATCAAATTTGAAATAAAAATACTAAGGCTAAAACAATTCCCTAATCTAATGCCCTAATCTAGGGGCCTAACTAATGCCCTAATATAAAGCCCAAATCTAAGGCTCTAATCTAAGATTGTTAAGCCAAAACCACCTCCACAAGTTGGATTTTTAGCCTCTGATTGTAACCAACAGAAAAAATGAAAGACCTTTAGCTGCCTGTACTTCTGGTACAGCGAACACTGAAACAATGAAATACCTTTAGCCACCCCTGTTATGGTGAACATAGAAACAATGAAAGACCTTTAGCTGCCCATGCCATGGTGAACATAGAAACAATGAAAGACTTTTAGCTACCTGTGCTACGGTGAACATAGAAACAATGAAAGACCTTTAGCTGCCCATGCCATGGTGAACATAGAAACAATGAAAGACCTTTAGCTTCCCATGCCATGGTGAACATAGAAACAATGAAAGACCTTTAGCCACCCCTGTTATGGTGAACATAGAAACAATGAAAGACCTTTAGCTGCCCATGCCATGGTGAACATAGAAACAATGAAAGACCTTTAGCTGCCCATGCCATGGTGAACATAGAAACAATGAAAGACCTTTAGCTGCCCATGCCATAGTGAACATAGAAACAATGAAAGACCTTTAGCTGCCCATGCCATAGTGAACATAGAAACAATGAAAGATCTTTAACTGCCCATGCCATGGTGAACATAGAAACAATGAAAGACCTTTAGCTACCTGTGCTATGGTGAACATAGAAACAATGAAAGACCTTTAGCTGCCCATGCCATAGTGAACATAGAAACAATGAAAGACCTTTAGCTGCCCATGCCATAGTGAACATAGAAACAATGAAAGACCTTTAGCTGCCGGTGCTACGGTGAACATAGAAACAATGAAAGACCTTTAGTTGCCGGTGCTACGGTGAACATAGAAACAATGAAAGACCTTTAGCCACCGTGCTATGGTGAACATAGAAACAATGAAAGACCTTTAGCTGCCCATGCCATGGTCAACATAGAAGCAATGAAAGACCTTTAGCTGCCCATGCCATTGTGAACATAGAAACAATGAAAGACCTTTAGCTTCCCATGCCATGGTGAACATAGAAACAATGGAAGACCTTTAACTGCCTGTGCTATGGTGAACATAGAAAAAATAAAACAATGAACCTTGATTTGTCTGTGCTATGGTAAACACTTGGCTTGTGTTGTAGTCTGTTATATGTGTGTAAACATCACCAGGGTCATACTGGCCATATTGCCTAACAGCTGCCATGTTGTTGTCTTGGTCCACGTATTCCTCCATGTATCCAATTTTCTGGGAGTGAGAGTTCCATACTTCCATGTAAGCGACATAGCTGCTGGTTATGTTTGGGAGACGTGGAGCTAAAAATAAACATAAACAATTTTTATAATAATGTTTTCACATCTGGAGAAACCCAGTTTTAGGTTTAGCCTGTGGAAATTTAAGTTTTTAAGTGTATCTAAACTTGCATTTAAGAATTAACATGCATGTATACTGCTTTAAAGATGCACTCGTAATATTGATTGTGATAGCATGCAGCACTTGTATAGTTCACCTTTTCGCTATAAAAGGTTTAGAGGGGCATTTATTTTTAGCCTGTTAAATCTATCCAGAGTTTGCTAATTAGTACTGGAAATCTGTGAAATTTCCTCATCAACACCTGGAACAGAAACATTGCAAATCCCATCTACATGCATAGGAGCCAAAATGATCAATAAATTGATCGTGGGCCCTTAAGATATAGAAGAAGAAGAAGAGTAATTTTACAACTTAAAGACTTTTGCACATTGAACTTAAAATTTTATACATCAAATATGGTTGAGAAGTTCTTGTGTCCCCCCTTACGGTACAAGTTTTATTGTATGAGACCCAAAACGGAATTTTTTAAACATGTCATATCTTACCTAGTCATCTTGGATTCTTCTTAATCAAAACAGATCCCTTTGTTTATATTTTTCCCCCCCCCCCCCCCCCCACAAAACCCACCCAATCCCGCTCACCAAAATCTTTACTGGTACTCACTCTTGTTAGTGATGTTTGGGGTCACAGAAGGGTCACACAGAAAAGATGAGGTCAGAGGCTTGCAAAGTAGAACGAGGTGAAATAGTCGCAGCCAGCCTGGATTATAGGATATTTATTCTATGAATCATAATGAAATAATACCACAGTTATCATAATATGGGAGAGAATGCGCTAAAACTAGCAGTACTGAAGCTGCCGCACCTTGAAAAAAAGGATGATATGTTGGGCAGTTGTTGTTGGACATGGCTTTCTCTGGGAAGGACAAAGTATTCTAATTGAGCAAAATGTTGTGGGTGACAGTGTTTGTAAAAAGGTGGAAGAAGAAAATACCTCATGACTAACACTGTTCTAGAAAAGTACCCCATCAACGGAAGAGAGTGTCTTATCGACCTGTAAGTGAATGTGACTTTCTTCGGAGAACCACTCATTTCTATAAAAGTCTGAATACTCTTACATAACATCCAGAAATGTTGACAGTGCGTCATACTGGATGACATATCCGCTCAATCAAGCCTTGTCTAACCTGTATCTGGTACGAAAATGAACCTATGTCCTTCAAAAATTGGTGATCTGATGTATAGCTGATGCCAAGTTTGAACAAAGTTCCTTGTAGCCTTCCTAAGGGCAAACACAGTACCTTCTGGAGAACACAGCATGATTCTCATTATCGAAAAGGGTCGATCAGACTTTCTCTTCTGTTGACACAATGTACTTTGATAACGGCATTAATTTTGTATTAATAGACAGCTTAAAATAAACATGAACTTGATGTAGTTTTATAAAATCTCTCTTGAAATTATTCCACCACCTTTTTAAATCCTTTATATTAACTTTGCTTTTGTTTCTGTGTTTCTTTCTAGCTGGGTGGTAAAATCTTCGGATGGCTAATTGACCCACTTCCCATCAACCAATAGGGCTGAAATTTGGCACATAGACTCAATGATAATCACAACACATTCTTTCTTTTTTTTCAGCCCCCCCCCCCCCNCGCCCCCCCCTGTCACAAACTGTCACCATCACACTTTTTTTTCCACCCCCCCCCCCCCCTGCAAACCTCAACCCCCAAAAATAAGTGTTTTTTTTTCTGTTTTTCCAGATGAAGGAAATATGATGCTACTAATTTCATGACAAAAATTCCAGACAAATGTTCTACATGGGATTTGTTTAAAAAAAAAACAAGTGGATTTGATGTGTTTTGTTTTTTCTGAAATAGTTGGTGAGATAAATCTGGTGCATAAAAGCGGTCAGCACATTAGAATAGAAACATAAAATAAAATAATTAAAATGCGTACAAAGGATTTATACGCAAAAGTTTGTATTTAGGGGTTGTTTAATTTTACGCACGTTCCTGCTTCCCAATCATGTAATCACTACATTTGAATGAAAATAATGATCAACTATACATTAAGTTCCCTTCCGCTGAGAGACCCATTTGAAACAGTAACTGTCAAACACATCCGTATGAAAAACTTACCAAATCCTTTATCTGGCCCCATTACAGCATGGAAGATGAACATTCTGACAACAATTAACTACCTACAATTAACTGCCAATTAACTACCTACAGTTAATACCTTCATTGGTTAAATAATACAGTTTTTCCACAAGATCTTACTTGATTTCATTTTATTCTTAAAAATGGTTTTCTGATTATTCCCAGTTTGTCTTCCGGAAAGTACAACTACTTTGAGATATCTTTAGCACATCATTAGCACATGATTAAGAATGGTGCACATGTCTTCTTACATCATTGAAAGCGTCATAACTTTGGCTGGTTCAAAGCTATTTCACAATTTTCACTATTGTCAATTGTACTTTTGTAGAAATTGAAAAAAAGCAACTATCTCACTCATGGAGTTACAATGGAAACTTCAAAAAATTAGAATGGAACACACAAAAAAACAATTAAGAAATATTAACACTTCCATTCTGTTTTTAACATCAAACCATATAAGATAAAGTAGACCTCAAACACAAAGGTATGATAACAAAATTCTTGATGTGAGAACTGTTTTAATTTTTTAAACTTCACTGAATAAACTGGCACTATAAGACGTGAGTTGAATCTGTGAAAATATGTAACTTTTTTTTTTAAAAAAGGAAAAGAAAGAAAAAAACTAGCCATTTACATCTAAAGATAAAAATAGTTATTTTGTGACCTGTTGTCAGGCAGATAACTAGGGCAGATAATTAGGGTGTGATAAGATGTCCCATTTATTATCTTTTCCTGTCAGATAATCAAAACATTAAAATTACAACTAATTGTAATTTTTAGGATTTGTTTACCTTCTCACATTGGAAATTACTTGAAAGAAAATCAATATTTCAATCATTAGAAAATAATACTTTAATCATTAAAAAATAGTATTTTAAGTAGTAAAATTAAGCCTTTATACTTTATTCAAAGGATATGAAAAGTATACATAATCAAGTTTGAGACCTCTGATGTCCGTTTAAGTGGTTAACTAAATGATTTTATTTTTAAATACATACTTTTTACATGTTGAGCACAACCACAATAATTGATAATATAAATAAAAAAATATCATGTTTAAATTTAGTTAGTAGTTCATTATAAATCTAGTTATCATACTAGTTACCTATTTGGTGTTAATAAGGTTTGTTTGTGGTGAAATTAATATTTGAAAAAGTATAAGTATAAGCCACCTTCAGAGAAAAAATTTATAGTATGGAGCAGAGGTGGGCAGCCTATTTGTTCAGAGCACTGCATAGAAATTAATATTTTTTGGCAAGCAGCATAAACATTTTCTAGCAATCTGAGTTTTAATTTCAATATACATCAATAAGATGGGCTTAAAAAATAAATATTATAAGAAAATTATATTTTTGCTTTGCTGTATCCATTATTATTACAATTTTACACTGTGACAATTTATGTTCAAAAAATGCTTTTAAAGTTAAAGACACTCAATTACAATTAGTAGCCAGGATTTGACAAAAGCTTTAATGCAGTTACCAGTATGAAGTGGGTGTGACAGGGTCACACAATGACCGAATTTCTAATTTAGCTTGACCGACCATTCTCTTTCATTTTTTCAATAACGACTCGCGAATCAACGACAGTTTGTGAGTTAAGTTAGATGCTCTATGCTGAGAAGATGATTTTTAGTTTAAGTTTATGACTTTATGTTATTTAAATCACCAGTCTCAGTCAGGTTAGGACAGTTGCCTTTAAACTTAAATGAAAGTACTTGAGCTTTACGGTAATTACGTAAGGTTTAAAATATCTACAACAGACAATGATTGTCGAGCTACTTACTGAACTACAAATTGATAAGAAGATAACTTCATTAGTCCATCAGCCGTCTATCAGTTTTAGCGGGTCTGACTGATATGGTCAGTAAAAATAAAAAGGTAGCCAAGTTCACTAACTCTGAAAACTTTAAATAACCCCAATTACTGAGTTAGTTATCCCCCATACAAATGATCAAGGCGAAATTCACAGCGTATTTTAAATAAGCCTTATACTGCAACGCACAAGTCAGAGAGAAAGAATAATGTTTTTTGCGTTAAAAGAGAAATTTGACGAAAATTTGCTCGTGTGAACTGAAAGAAAAAAAAGGGAATTCGACCAAACTTCCGTTCGATCAATTTTCCGTCGACGCAATTTCTTTCAATTAAATTTCCGGATACGACTTTGATTTTGGATGCAATAGAATGTGTGAATTACCTCCCATTATTATTTTTTTTAAATTACTTGCAAATTAATTATTTTTTTAAAGTATGACTTCCATATTGCTTGTCACATTTGTAAATACACAATCGATTTATATACTGATTCTAGTTTTCAGAGTTGAGAGAGAGAAAAATAAAAAATTTAATAAATGATAAGGCTAAGGACTTTTATAGATGACTGGTAAAATTCTCTCCAACTGAAAATCACACACAACAGAACAAATAAAAAATAAAAAAAAAAATTTTAAATATGCTCCAGAAGGTCACTTTTATTTCTCATAAAATAACAAGGCGAAGATTTACAAAGATATACAAATACGTTAAGTCGTTAATCCGAATCCAATAACTAGCTTATCTCAAGAATGCCGAAAACTTCTTTCGGTTAAGACTTGTGTTGGCGGCCTGGTCGAGAGGACGATGACAAGTTTTGTTGTGGACATTATCATAGCCATTAAACAGGAGGGTTGCATTTTAAGAGGACCGCCGTCAGCACTGGTTAGCAGTGAATAAGATTGGTAGGTAATATTAACTGAGTGGTGTGCTAAACATAGGGAATTCATGATAATTTTATTATAAGTAATATACTTAGTAGTTTATGATTATTGTCCAGCTTGAATAGCTGGTACACTCACACACAGGGGAGAATGATGCTGCAAGGGGGGGGGGGGGGGGGGAGGTGATTGATTTGTTGAATGGGGAGGGGGTGGATTATGGTTTCATTTGTAACAAAAGGGGGGGATGGTGGGGGAGGGGGGGGGGGGGGTGAGGAGTTGATTGATTTGTTGAATGAGGAGGGGATGAATTATGGTTTCATTTGTAACACACAACTGAGAACGTCTGTCACACAATTAATTTTTTTTTAAAAAGTCAATCTACAATTATTTAAAAAAATTGTTAAAAAGAAGTTAAAAAATTAAAATGGGTCAATAGTCTGGCGTGACCCCTTTGTTTCTAGAGCAAAGGTCTCCTTGCTCAGACCAGCTAAAAACAAAATTTTTGCAAACATTGTAAAAACTTGTTTAAATGTAAATCATTTGCCAATATAGTTCAATAAAATTACTGTATTACTTAAAATAAAATGATACTTCAATAACTCTGATATATTTTAAAAAAATACAGTTTGATAAGAAAGTAGCAAGCATTATTTTATTTGTTAAAAAATCATTGCCTGCAACTTTTCAATCTATTCCTTTATTTAAAAAAAAAAATTTTTAAAATTCATGCCCCTGATATCTAAAATACCTATGTGCAAATAGTTTCGTCAACCAACTAAGTAAACAAATTTAAATGAGAAAAATTTCTTTTGAAAACATTGTTAAAAGCAAACACTTTTGGAGACCATTGCGATAAATAGAACAACAGACCTGACCATTGACAGAATCAAATAGTTTATATACAGGCTAAAACTTAATGTATTTACACACCCATCTGATTCATTGTCAGCCTATAATCTGTACACTGTGTTTATTGATTCATGCAGCTATTTCACATGCAGGATATATTGTTTGTCGACATAACTCTGAAGGCACTGACCGCAAAACAAAAAAAAGTTCATGAGAATAAATACAATGGTTTATAATACACACACAAAAAAATTAAAATATATGAAGAATTTAACACTGACCAAGGCTGGATACTGGATACAAAAACAAATTAAGTACAAAATTTGACACAGTCAAAACAAGGAGTATGCCCAGTGATAAAATCAATGCGAGGCAAAGTCTCTTTGGAAAGTCACAGTGGCTTCAGATGGAACTGTCGGGATCTGCCAGCAGATAACACAGAAATGGTTCTCCGTCAAGCCTGCAGTTTAAGGTTGACATCAATCAAATGAAATAACGAAGTCTGTTGTTGAATCACCTAGATGCTAAAAATAAATAATGTTCAGACTCAGGGCTGCTTCTAGACAGGGTTGTCAAAAAGAGAGTTTTGGGATCCTTGGTCAAAGACTGAGCGTTATTTTACCTCACAATTTCATCTTCTTAAAAATATTATCCTACAACATAGTAAATTTGCATAACATTCATCAGACAAAAAGGCTTTGTTAAGGGTATGACACAAATTGATTTAGTAAATATATTTTAAAAATATTTTAATTAGGTCGAGATAACCTCTAGAGCAAGAAGTGATTTCTCTATAATATAAGCAGTGTAAACCATCTTGAGACAGGAAGCCAGATTTGGCAGAGAGTAAGGGGCAGCTGGCCAAAGCTGTCACCTGCTTTGTGCAATTAATGGTTCAAGAGGCAATGGAAGTAACGTGGAAAAAAAGAATCATGGTATTTTTTTCATCTCATGAATGTTGTTCTTGAGAGATCATACACATTGTTCTTGATCAAATCTAATGTAAATCTCAAAGGGTGGCGGGCAGGGGGGGGGGGGGGCGGGGGGGGGGGTGGGGGATTTTTGCCCCATGAAATGTACAAAAAAATAAATAAAAAATTACTATGGGTCAGTTCACAATTAACTTAAAATTGTTCAAGGCTTAACACATAAACAAATACATAAGACTTATTCCAAGGTCACTGTCAATGAAGAGCATAGTTGAACAATTCGCAACTCATGAAATTTAAAAGGGAATAGTTTAAAAAGCTTAACATCTGCCCTATTGAGTAAACACAGGGTCTGGTCAGTAGGAAATAGACCAAGCTAATTTATTTTAAGTGAAAAAAAAAAAATGAAGAAGTTATCCAACAAATCTGCATAAATCAAACTTTAAATGCTAACAAGGGGAGTTAATGCATTCTTTAATGCCCTTATTGTTGGCTGAACACTAAAATTATAATTTTTTTTCTATTTAAAAATTAACTAAATCTTGTTTGGCAAGCCAAAAATAGCTATTAATTATTTATTTCACTAACGTCACAAAGCTGACAGACATTGGTGGCATTAATGATGGTAGTGGTATACTTAAATCCGAAAATTTTTATATTCACAAATTATAGAGAAGTATCAGTAGGCCTATCTATCCTATCTGATATCTGTATAATAGTAAAAAGTAATGCAGATGCTCAAAACTGTAGTTTCCTAAACTTTTTCCACGGCCTACGGCCTGGCTGAAGCCAGGTTTTCCCAAAAGTTAAATTTAAACAATTTCAGTGCAAAATAGTGAATAAATTTTTATTTTTTAAGTTTCACTCGCCCTAATCTCACCGTTAGTAAAAACCATTTTTTTTTTAAAACTACAATTTAGAAGAAATAACTTTACATGATTGGAATTAATGAAAATAACATTCAATTGATACAATCTCCTGAAACTAATTCAACTCTAAGACTTCTTTAGAGTGGCCCTACTAACTAAGACTAAGGTTAAGGCAGCGCAAAACAAACAGGTTTTTAAATATGAACACAAAGTCTAAGTTCAATGTAGTTAAG